TATCCACGAAAGAGACTTTCTGGCACAGTAATCAGATACATCTTCGTGTTCACTTCCAATTTGTGCAGGCTCATCAAAATCACTATCAGTATCCAGCAAGAAATCTGTACTATCATCAACTTTTTTGAAACTCTTGGACCTAACTTTACTAAGTGATGGAATGATACTTTTTGAAATTAAGCTAGCTTGTTTGGAGTGGTCAAACTTAGTCGTCTTTGGAAGTAAAGTTGGAAGTTCTCCATCTTCCGTCAAGCCATCCAGTTCTTCTTTTGTGGCACCAGAATTTTTCAATTACATCACATCCATTGATTCTTGAACATGCTCCTCTTTATCTATGGTAGCCAGAGGTGAAGTTTCACTAGGTACAGGCAGGGCTTTTATAGGTGACCAGCCATCCAATTTGCACAAAGGGTGTGTGCAAAGCCCATGGAACACTTTTGCAGGACAAAAGAGGCCACTCAAGCTTGGTAAGAGATTCTAGCTGTTCCCTGTAGCCAGCCAAAGAATTCCACAAATTTTAACTTCTGTATGCCCATCAATGTGGATAATCATGATAAACTAGGGATCCTTGAAAATATACTGAATTTCTGTAAATAGACTGAAAAAAAAGTCATACAAGCAGCATAAACACTAAAAAGATTAAGAACAGGGAGGCATACAAAGAAACATTACTAAGATATCAATAACAAAAACACAACCAAAGCAAAGTCTCATAGCAAGGTTGACAAAAGATGCCACTCAAGCTTGATAAGAGATTCTAGCTGTTCCCGGTAAGCCAGCCAAATAATTCCACAAGTTTTATCTTAAGCAAGCCCATCAACTTCGATAACCAAGATAAAATTGTGATCCTTGAAAATATAATTGAATTTCTGTAAATGGGCTGAAAATAAGTCTTACATGCAGCATAAACACTAAAAGATTCAGAACAGTGAGGCAAACAAAAAAACATTACTGAGATGTCAATAACAAAAACACAAACAAAGCAAAGCCTGATAGCAAATCCTAGGTTGATAGAATTACAGTATTTATCTTCGTTGAACATAAAGAAAAGATCCTTGATATTCTAAAATTCTAAAACTGTAAACATGCTAGAGCCGTGACTCACAGAAGAGCCAATTGAGCTTTTCTCCTTGAGCGAACTTTCTGCAGAACTGTCTGTACTCGGTTCTGTTGGCGATATAATGAGAGACCAGATATAACATCTTCGCTCATTGCTGCTTCACTGTTGTCAGTGGGGAGCAATGGAGACACCTCAGGCAAGAAATCAATCCCTGCCAAGTGCTGAGCCCATTTGTAAGGACGTGAAGTTCTCTGAGCATTGAACGTTATAGCATCTTGAACAAAGAGCTTAGCTGACTGCATCACCATTTAAACAAAAGAAATGGAAGATAAATGATGAGTAGGATAATACATCAAAGACACTGATGTTAGCAAAATGAAGAACATGCCCATGACAGGAAAGCAATCAAACCTGGTGAGGAAGCTCAAGGCCTGTATCATTAGGAAATAAATTGCATAGGATGTCATTGTCAGGACCATCATTAGATCCTTCTATTCCAACACATACAATATTCAACTTAACCATGTACTCAAAGCTTAGAGTAATTAGTTTTGCAGGCTTAGGATCAGAAGTCTCGTCTTCATACACATGGATAATGATTTTAAGTGGGTGACTTTGAAATATGCCCCCTTGGTCAGAGCTCTCCTTGACGTGAACCCTCCTTGGCCTTTTTCTACGTCTCTGACCATCTTCTTCATCATCAGGAACATCATCTTCCAATTTAGAACTCTCTGTGACAGTGGAAATGCCTGAGTAATAAAAACAAAATCACATCATACTGAATATTTTTTAAATTGAATAAGAGAAAATAACAAATCAATTTAAGATTCAGTTTTAAATTTTTCAAATGGTAAAGAAATTCCAAAGCCACATAGGGCACACACATAGAAAGATTGCAAATAAAGCAAAGGAAACACAAACTTAAGACCAATAATAAACTTGGTAATCATGGCATGATGGTGATACTTAAATGTTGGTAACAAACTTCGTTTCCTTTACAAGTTATCTTGATGTTAGCATTACAACTATCTATAATTTATAAGAGCTAACAATGTCCTGAATAATACATTTGGAGTGATAGTGATTCATGGTTTGAAGTTAAATAATTTTAAGAAATGATGTTATTGTTTATAAATAAAACCTAGGGTCAGAATATACACTGTCAGTGGCAATAGATCTGGTAATATAGTATATTTATAGAATGATAAATTTCACGAATCAGCTCTCACTTACCAGTTTCCTTGTGAGCTTGCTTACGAGCAAAAGCTTGAGCATCTTTCAGGCTTCCTACAATCTCCAAATCAATGGGTTCTACAAAGGCCTCCTTGTGAGCTAATAGCTGTGAGTAGATCACATAAAGAGCTGGTGGAAGCAACTCTGCTGAATGATGCTGCTTTAGTTTCTTTGTATGCATAATTCCTAGTTGGTTTTGTACAGGCAATGATGCTTTCTTAAGAGACTTGAGATGCGAAGGGAGACTTGTCAAGAACTTCTTTCGGTTTGCAATAGTATCCAAAAGGATTTTCTTCTGTTGTTCCAGTTTCGCATGATGTTTGCAGAGCTCTTTACGCTGATAGAAATTTCATATAAGAATCATCATAAGCATATTTAATGCTATTTCCTTGAAAACTGGAACAATCAATGCACATTTCTTCTAAGCTAATTACAAAATGCCGAATATACTGGGTCAGATTTTGCAACAGAATATCTCATCAGTACCTGGTATAGCTCAAAATTGAGTCTCTTGAGCATCAGATTATGAGCACTGTCTTTCGACAAAACAGAATCCTTGATATCCTTGGGCGCATCGCGTAAAAATTCTTCCTCGGGTACGAGATCAATGTCAGGATATTTAGACTTGAAATCTTTGCAAGCCTTAATCGCTTTAAGATAGTGACTCTTTTCATAGACCAAATTGTGAAGCTGCAGCGTCGTGAAATCCACCGGAGCCTTCGCGCGTTCCGTTTCCATTTTGACACGGTCTTCCTCAATCAATATAGAGCGATTCGCCTGAAAAAATAGGGTTAAAATTAAATGTTATCTAATTCGTAATTTTATGAGAATGAAATTGATGAAGTGTGAAATTGAATAAACCCTAGGGACCTGGCGGAGAGTGATGAAGTGAAGGAACATTTGAGTGACGAGATCGCGAAGGAGTTGTTTCGGTTTAGCGTCTTTTTTGATGGAGAGGATATCGGAGATGATGGTTTCGATGGAAGATTTGCTGTTGTGGAGAATTTCGTGCGGTGATTCCTCTGAGATGGTGTCTTCTGAGGAATGTAGAAACGGTTGTTGCTGTTCTTCTTCGACGGCGATTGAACCTTCTTCTATCTCACCGTCTTCCATTTTCAGTTTAGTTTTTTTTAGCTTCACCTAAAACCCTTCTTCTTCCCTTAAATCCGGTTTTCACCTTCTTGTTTTAGTTACAGTGTATCAACGGCGGAAACAAGTCTCAAATGCTTGTTTTATTAAATAATTTCAAGGGTTAAATAAGTTTTTTTTTATCTCTCTAAATATTTATGTCTTCATTTTTAGTTTATCTAATATTTTCTTTTAAGAAATAATCTTTCAAAATTTTTTTTCAAAATAATTGGTCTCTAACATCAAATTTCACTAACGACTGCTTATGTGGCAAGACATGTGAATTAAATATTTTTTTTACTAAGATGAAATTCATTAACTTAAGTGGCATTTCTCATGTTTCAAAACCCTTTGGGTTTTAAGTCCTAGTTCACCTTCGATAGTGCTCCCTCTCTTCAAAAAAGTATTCGTGTATTTTCATGCTTGTGGTCTCAACATTGACGAATTTTGAGTTGGTTGATGCGGTCCCAACAACGATTAGGTAAGTCTCACTTGCTATAGTTTATTTATTTCGAGTATTGATTGTTTGTTCCGTGTCACATTTGTTGGTCTCAAAATCTAGGGTTTTTGGTTTGAATCTGATGGTAATGTCTGATTTACCCTTTTTTTTAAATGTGTAGGAAATGGGGTTATTTAAGGTTGTCATTTATACCAAAGAGTCATTTGTAAAGGATGAAGGGTTAAGATATGAAGGGGGTGTTTATGATGTATGTGAGTAAGACCCTGATTTCTGGTCATACTTTGAAGCATATGACTTAATTAAGGGTATGGATTCATCGTTTAAAATTGAAGATGTGAAAATATGGTGGAAGTCTGAACATGGCTCACTTGAAAAATGATCTAAAACCCCTTGTTAATGATGAGGATGCAACAATGTTAGCGATGTGTGCTGAGGAGACTAAGTGTGATGTTGAGATATATACAGGAGGCAAGATTATCTAGTGGTGAGAAGACTTATATGGAGAGGTTAAAAGAGAAAGAAAAATGCCATGTTAATGTTGAGGAAAATGAAGATGGTGAAGACAGTGAATCATCTGAATACTCTTTGGATGGTATACACTTTAGAGATAATCGGTTGCCACATATGGAGATAGATTAACATTTCAAGTGAGTCATGTAATGTCCATAAATAGTTATATTGTAGACTTGTTAAAACATACTTGTTCTTGTAACTTTTAGGACTTGGTTGGGATCCTATGTACATGTTGTTGCAGCCATACATATGAAGATAGATAATCCCATTAAATATGTAGATAAGTGTTACCATAAGTCTACTTATGTATCATGTTACAATGAATTTATCAGTCTCATTAATGGCCAAAACAAATGGCCAATGACTACTGACCCTAACATCTTACCACCAAGTTACGAGAGAGGTCCTGGTAGACCAAAGAAACTCAGAAGAAGAGAGTCAGATGAGGCAAGTCAAACAAGGTGGCAAAGGACAAACACAAGCCACATGTGCAAGACTTGCTTGGAATATGGACACAATAAAAGGAAATGAGGCAGGAAACGAGGCTTAAGTACCGACTGCAAGAAATATGAGCCAGGCTACTCAACCTGAAGAAAACTCTGCACCAACTGACGTGACACCTACTCAACCTGGGGTAAACCTTTCACAAACTTTTGTTACCTCATTTGAGGCAATGAGAATGTACTGTGGTATAGATCCAGATGAGTTAGAGGCATTGTTGAATGATAATTACATACTAGATATTGCACCATTAAGAATTGATACTAGTCATGCAAAGAATAATAGTCCTGGTCCCAAAACCTTTATTGGTAAATGTCCTAAGGTATCAAAACCTGCTAAACATGTTGTCAACCCAACTATGAGCGACCCTGTAAGTTTGTAACTTGTTCTGATAAACTTATTTGGCATGTTATACTTTTTTAGCTTGATAACTCTATGATGTCATAACATGTGAAAATAATGATATCACCAAGGAAAAAGTCAAAGATTGTTGCATCTCCAAGTAGAAAGAGTGACAAACTTAGGACTTTGAAGACAAAGAATATGGAGGGACCTGGAAGGGATCCAAATTATCCATTTGTAATACCTGAAGAAGACTCAACTATTGGAAGTGTTAGGGGGAAAAGAAATGGGATGACATCTAGAAGAGCATGACTCAATAAAGACTCAAGACTGACACAAATGTGTTTTGATTGAACTTCATGTCTTATGAACCTAGTGTTTTGTTATATACTATGAAAAAAATGTATAATATATTATGAACCAAGTGTTTTGGTGTGTATTTTGTTATTTACTTTGTTATGCATTTTGAACCTTATGTCTCAGTATATATTTTATCATGTACTTTGTTGTGCACTTTGAACCTTTTGTGAAACAAGTATTTTGTATGTTGAATCTAAAATTATCTTATCAATTACAGTCAGATTACAAGCTTTTTATACCAAATATTGTAAATTATGTCAACTTAATCATAATAAACAATATTGAAACAACTGCATTTCATAATATTAACCAGGTACATTTATCAAGTACATTGAAGCAAGACCTACATTGAAATTCATTACATTAAATAATTCAGCAACTGCATTTGATAACAAAATACACATTTATCATAAAGGACACAACAAGATACAACATCTTTAATCTTCCATGAAACTTCTCAGTTTTCAAATTGGTATTCAAGTTCTTATTCTTCTTCCTTGAATCTTCATACTTACTTCATACATCCCACATATGTCATGGCTTCTAACTCTGAGTTCCTAAAAGTAACATCATCATTTTCATATTTTTCGCCAATATCCTCATCACATATGAATAGATTACACATATCAGAACTCTTCCAATAAGGACATCTCCAAAATAACCTACCCTTATTTGGTTCATTCTTGCAATGATATGATACCATCCGAACCTGAAATCCATAAAACTTGCCAACTCGCGATTTCGTTGAAGCATAAGACATTATGTTATCAGGCCACGGGAGAAAGGAGATGAAAGAAGGAAGAAGATGAACAAATGAACCAAGTCTGATGTGGATTTTCACGATGGAGGAAGAAGAATGTGAACAAAGAGGAAATAAATTAGGTCAAACAAAGTGTGATTCATCTTTAAAAAGGGCCAGTGTACACGATGTATTTCATGGAAATATAAAAAAAAAATTATTTAATCCACCTGTCTTGCCACATAAGGAGTTGTTAGTGAAATTTGACGTTATGGACCAATTATTCAGACGGAAAATTTTGAAGGGACCAATTCTTGAAGGAAAATATTAGAGGGACTAAAAATAAAGTTTAAAATATTTAGAGGGACCAAAAACTAATTTAACCCTAATTTTAAATAATAAATACAACAACAAAATATTATTAAGTGTAAGGTGATGGCTCAATTTGTTTTGGTTTTTAAAAAAAAATATTTTTAAAGTGTTACATAATTTTGTGTAAAATAATTTATAAAGAAATTTTTCATGAAAGTTTTATATAAAAATTTGGTTTGAATTGTTATTCTTAAAATTTTATTTTAGATATTTCATCTTCTTACTGAAATTTTTGTGTATAGAAAAATTTCAAAAAATCACTTAATTTTGAAGTTATTTCAAATAGATTTTCATAAAAATCATTTTTGAAATACAATTTTTTTAAAAAAATTGTGATTTTGACTATTTTTTTGTCTTCAATAATGTATGTTTATGTTATAGGGTGTCAACATTAATGTTTCAATTTATAAAAAAATGAATATAAAAAACTTGTAATATTTTGAAAAACGGTTTTATAAAAAATCTATTTTCAAAAATAAATAAAAAATCTATTTTTTTTAAAAGCTGAAACAAATGGGCCCTTAAGTCCCTCTAATATAATAAAAATGAGAACATGTAAAATCAATTGTAGGTTTTTTTTACATATTAAAGTATTTCTACTTTTCGTAAGACTTTTGTTTCGTTAAATTTCAGTTTTATTACATTCTAATTTCGGCTTCATATTCATATGTCGTTGTTTATCAATTGTTTCAGTATCTCTCCAGCTTTCCCAATCGCGGTTTCAATTCTTTTTAAACGGCCACCATTAGAAACAAAGAGAAAGTACACTATGTCCAATGTCCATGGTTTGATAATTTGCATTTTATAAAGCAGCACCAAATTCGTAATCTCAAATTCTCATTTCGCTCTGAGTCGCTCTCTTCTCTGATCAGTTTCAATTTTGCCAGCGATTTTAGTCATTGATCGATGTTTTCCGAGCGAGGGTTTTAATTGTCGTTCAATTTTCTGATGTGGTAAGTTTCTTCGATCGAAATATTTTGTTAACTTAATTTTTTTATTGTTTTTGCTAGTTTTCTTCCGGTGAGGAACTCCTATTGAATTTTGCTTCATATATGGGAGTTTATGGTGGGATATTTGTTTTGACTTTGATTTAGGGTTTTCTTTCTTGAATTATATTTGGGATTTCGTGGTTAATTACTAGTGATGTTAAATATGTTAATAATTTGATTTGAAATGATTAATTAGGTTACATTTGAGTGTCGAAAAGAAGAGTAATATTAAAAGATATTTTGTTCTTATACAATTGTTATTTAGTTAGCCAAATTATTTTGAGTATATGTGTTTTTTGTTAAGAAATAATGTGGAATACATAATTGGTGCAGGAAATAGAGAAAGAGCATCGGTACCATTTGTCGAATAATTATAGGTGGTATGGAGGTAAAAGGAGAAATTTTAAATACTAGTATTAGTGTATTTTGGTACTTATATTAAAATTATGTTGTTTATTACGATAGGGACTAGAAGATGATTCAACTGGAGTAGTTGATGAAGCAAAAAGTGAGACCATTGTTGATGACATTAGTGGATGATGGAGAATCTATAGAAAAAATCATAAAATGAACGAGTTATTCTTAGCATGGACCTGAAAAGATTAAGTCTTCATGAGACAAATAAATTTCAATTTCCAAGTTTGGAGATGACTTGTGTATTCTATAACCACTATGCTAAAATGAACGGGTTTGCAGTTTACAATAGCAA